TTGTTGCCGCCAGCTCTAAGGTCATTGTTGGAGTGCCACACCTCAAAAGCAGGTAGATGGAGAAGCCCTGTCGGTGGTGACCACCGGAAGGACAGATGGCCCCCAAGGTTGCAAAACACGCATGCGCCGACATGCAGGCTTTTTCAACATGGTGCTTCGGCGTCACACTTGGATGGCCACTCACACCTACGATACGTAACACACATCGAGCGCTTGGTGTGCTGCTCACAAACTGCGGCCAACATGACGGCCGTGTTTGTACCGTTTCCACCACCGCAAATCTGGTAACGGGCCTCCCGGTGAAGAATAAGGCAAGGACTGCAGTCTGTTCCGAGTCTCCGAGTGTGTTATCCGTAGAAGTCCAGAGAAGGCGGGGTCCGCCAACACATCACTTACCGTGCCGATATGCACGCACACATACACACACATTCGTCCATTGACTTCGGACGAACCCGGCTGATGACATAGTTTGTGTTCGAGAACATTGCTGGTTGGGCTATTCCTCTTTCCCTTCCCCGCGTCAACTCCATGCGAGCATTAGCCGTGGAACGAGCCCTCCATAATCCTCCTGCAAGCTGCAACTGCGTTCTGCAAGGCGTGGTATGTGGCATTTGCCAAGGACAGCCGGTTTGACGTCAACTCTTTGACGAAGGCACTCAGCGATGTGCTCTATACCGGCGAGATCCCACTTTGAGTTTGTCGGACATGACGAATTCGGTAACCTGATACCCTATCGCCTAGCATCGACATTTAGAATCATTTACCAAGCCATTGGAGATACCATGGCGTGACCAGGCTGTAGCTTGGGCGGTTTCTGAGAGTTGGCTTTCGATGACCTTTTTTCTTCATGCCACTCAATGTTGCTCGGAACACGTGCTTCCGTCGGACATGAACATTTCATACCAACAACAAACTTCAAAAGCTAGAGCCACCGAGCCTCGAAGATGACGAGCTTGTGTCGGCGTTGGCTTGACGTGTTGCTTTGTCATAGACTGGAAGGGACCGAGAAGAGAGCAGCTTCTTTCTTGAAGGTGAGAAACTCCTCTCGCGTCGATGTAGGATGCAAAATGAGCGCCGTGATCTTTGCCGGGTTGTTGTGCTAGTATATCGAGTCCGAATCTGACCTCTACCGTTGCTTACGCTCCTTTTGCGAGGCCACAACTCAAGCAACGGCCGGGTCACGCCGGTGGATGCACGGCTTGCGTGAGGTACTGGGTCTTCTTCTGCTGGGTCTCCGACTATACGCGCTTCGTACACATCAGTGGGTTCTTCTCCTCGCTGGCAACTCCACCAGGTGTTTGGATACGATATCCAACGTTGTTGAGAGTCTAGATCAATATGGGCTGTAAGGGATGTCTTTTCTTGGCGGTTCTAGCGGGACGGCAGTACCGACTTGAGACTCCTTGGCTTTATATACTGAGTTACTGTTCATATCTTGGAAGAGGATTCGCGGCCATTGGTTCGTGTACAAGCCAGTGAGTGATACCGCGCGATGGTTGTATCAGATTCTGCTGTCTTTTACGGACCAGAACGAGTCACTCGAAGCGGTATGTAAATTAGCTGCCGCTCGCATGAGGGAGAGTCACGTCGTGGTCATATTCACTCTTCGTCTTCGTCATCGCCGTCTTATTTGAGAGAGGGATAAGAGCCCAGCGGAGGTGTACCGAGATCAACTGGTTCCTATCGGAGAGGGCCGGGCACGACAGGCCGCCGGCTGTGTTCCTCCGATGCACTTGAGCTCTTCCGTACAGTCCGAACCCCGACAATCAGGACACACCTGAACAAGCAGAAGGGCCGCTTGCGAGTCCTCAGCATCTGGACATCGAGGATTTATGTAAGAGTCTGTCGTGAGATAGAAGTCAAGGGGTGTTTTGCGAGATATATAAGCTGGTGTTCTAGGGCAATACGAACACTGACTTACGCGCAAGCATGGAAACTGCCGATCTCCATGTGACAATGAAACTTCGGGTTTGTTCCGATGGCCAAGTTCGAACATGGTGTGCAAGCTGTACGACAATCGAGCTTTCCATGCTCGGCGTAGGCAATTTACTCTAATTCTATTTGGTGTATCCTGCTGGAATAACTACCGGAAGATGAGTAGGAGTGACGGGTACGGGGAGGGAGATTCAGGGGTGGGATTGATTGCGTACCTCAACGTGCCTTATAGTCGTCGCAGTTCTCCTTTTGCAGAATGCAGCTTGAGAGTTCAAAGAAAGCAATTGCTTTCTGGCCCGCCTCCGCGAAGAAGAAGAGGGAGAAGGCGGGCTTTTGGTGCTGATAACGTTACCATTATTAGGTAGGCTTATATGCTGGGTTGCATGTGCTGCTACCTCTCACTAGGTCGATACTACCTAGATTCGATGTGTTGTTTCCCAAGATAAAGGAGTTGTCCACAGTGTTGGTATGGAACCCCTACCACTTGAGGTGGACATTTTGCTTCAACTACTTTCCTGCTTATTCTACTGGAATGACTAACAAAAGCCGGACGAAAGGGACGAGAACGGGAAAGAAGGTCCGCGGGTGTGATGTATTATGTTGCGTAGCAAGGCGTGCCCGGCGAGGTCGACAGTTGGCAAAGTTTGCTGTCATATATGATGACCAGAGAATGGCCTTCGTCAGACAAAACAACAGAGACGGGCTTGCTTGGTCGAAATACTTAGCTGCTTTGGGGATCATATAGATTTCTAGATAGTTGAGACTTTGTCATTGCGACGAGTTGAACCTGGCGGACTCTATTTGGCTGCTGGGACATCCTATAACTACTGTTCTGGCATACTTCCCATCATCTGTCGGACAATATATGAGTGTGCCAGTTTTGGGTATGCTGCTTCTTCTGAGGCTGCCTCAGCTTTGATGAGGGCGGCATCAATGCTCTGGATGATGTTTTACCGGTACAGGAGACGCTGGCATTCTTTTGGCATCCTCGCAGGGTTGCGGTTTGGAGGTATTCTGCTGGTATAAGACAAGGGCCGGGGTGAAGGAAGAAGATTATGCTGGATGATGAATGTGACAAACGTACATTGGTTCAACCGATGACTAATTATCAAGAGTGTACCCGCGCAACTTGTCGATACGTCTATGCCTTCCTGACCACGACATACACAGGTTTGCTACCTGGTAGAATCTCGTCAACTGCGAATTACTCTTCTATTTCGGCTGGCGCTGGGATTGCTACCGCTCCCCATGTCTTCTTATAGGCTCCCGAGACCATTGGGACCATCGAAACCAGGCTCGGTTGAAATGCTCTTGAGCCATATGGGCGACCTCGCCAAGCCTGCTCGTAGGGGTCGAGCAGACAACCCGCGAATACCATCCAGACCATCGGTCTTTATGGTTGCTGCACTCGTCGGAAAAACCGCAATATTTCTTGATTTTCAGAAACCAAATACTCCCGACGAGAAGGATAAAATCGGGATAGTCGGGTGGCTGCGTCTCGCTTACCGTTTGCTTCCAGCCTCACTCGTCTCTTCACAGACGTCAGACATCCTCCTCATTGAGAGCCCATTAGGGAAATACGCAGAGTCTTTCGACTCTGATGATGATATGATTTCGCGATGAGAGAAGTACGGAAAACGTAAGGAGGCAGGTAAATCAAACGGGGAAATAAGATAGAAACAAAAAGAAGAGGAAGAAAAAGCCCCAAAAAGTACCACCGGCGGGACTTGCACCCGCAACCTTTGGCTTAGGAGGCCAATAAGCTACTATTGCTCCACGGCGGCTTTGACCGTTAGACCATCTGGTCTTTTCTATTTGTTGGAAGAGGTGAGCGAGACGTCACGTCAAGAGGGCAGGTGTGCGGTTGGGCAGTTGGATGAGAGGGAAGGTGCAGCGGGAAAGAGCTCAGGCTGCACCTTCCGTTTGTATAAGGCACACCAGTAGCCAATGAGAACATTGAAAAATTGTCCGGAGAAAAAGAGTCTTGGGCACTGAGAAGCCGATTGTCATGTTCGTTCAGTGGTATGGGAAATGCTGCCTTGTTCTGCCATCACTCCAGCTTAGAAGCTACTCATTGCTTTGGGTATGCTAGTAGTTTGTTTTGGGAACGACTGAAGCAAAATAAGAGGACTTCAAGGATCACACACATAAAATGAGACTTTTTACAGAAGTAGAAGGGGAACAGACGAGGGACAGCAAGCCATCTTGATGCAGGCCTCTAGGCGTCTACCAAGACTCCTAACTGTCCATTACGGAGAGGTGTCCCAGAGCAAATACAGCAGCAGACATATGCTCCAGAGAAAAAGAGCTTAGGTTATAATAACTCAAACTTTTAGCTTCATCCACAACGTGAGTATAATCTGAGCACAATCCGATGCGTGCTGAACCGTTCCATGCGGTCTTTGCGGGTGCCTGCGCCCGGAAGACTCTTCCACGATGATCTACCATCGACTCAGCAGCAACGATACAACCCGAAACAACTCGAATAATAAAACAAGGTTTTTGGACTCGAATTATACACGCGCGCGAACTCAATGAGGCGCGCCGGCGCAGGCGCTGGAAGACGACAAGCCGACGGAACCGTGACTGCCTCTTCTTGCGCTGTACTTGCTTGCTTGGCCTTCGCACCTGCATGCAGCAGCACTTGCATAGGCTCTTCTCCTCCGTCTATCGCACTTGCCCTTTTCAATAATTGCACTCGCACTTCTTTCTTGCGCTTTAGTCTGTGTTTGACAGTCGGCGAAGATACTTCGTTTTCTCATCGATACCTCACAATTGACCTTTCCCTTCATGGCGCGGTCGCCTGCTAAATGAGAGGCTTCTCATTGCAGGCCAATCTCACTCAAGCTCAGCAGTCGCAACTCTCAATGCCGCGGCCCCGGCATAGTTCGTTTCAAGAGCGCCAAACTTTCACCTGCAGTCATTTATCAAAAACGGTGATTGGTATCGAACTCGTAATATTCATAATCTTTTCGTCAGACAGTCAGTTGCAGCTGCCTCTCAAACGCGTCCCTTCCATTTACGCTTTTCATCTTCCTCACATCCCACCCCCTCTCAGAAATCATTTATGCAGGAGGCCAGTTCTTGTTGAAGACGATACAGCTTCCGTTCGCTGATGAGGCGATATCCTTATCCGTCAAGAAGATGCAGTACTTTGCCACGGCAGCGGGATCCAGTCCAGTCTCGCCCCGCTTGTACTCGGGCTGTGCGGCCACCGTCTTCATCATGCCCGCCTGGTTGACGCCCTGCGCAAAGGCATCCATGATGTTGGTCGTGTCCATGCCTCCCAGCAAGAGCGCGACGGAGTAGATGCCCTTCTCGCCGTAGAAACCGGCCGTGTTCTTGGTCACGGCGATCAGGCCGTGCTTGGAGGCCGTGTAGGCGACTCCCGAACACAGACCGCGCCAGCCGGCGTTGGAGCCGATGTTGATGATGAGGCCGGGCGGGCCGCCGCTCGCGGAGGTGGCGCCCTGGGCGAGGAACTGGTTGACGGCGGCCTTGGTGGTGAGGAAGGGGCCCGTGAGGTTGACGGCGAGGACGGAGTCCCAGGTGTCCTTGGCGCAGTCGCCGGCCGGGTCGAACTTGTCCATGACGCCGGCGTTGTTGACGAGGACGTCGAGGCGGCCGAAGCGGTCGACGGCGCCCTTGACGAGGGCGTCGACCGAGGCCTCGGAGGTGACGTCGACGGCGATGGCGTGCAGGCGGCCGGCGTAGGTGTCGCGGTACTCGGCGGCGACGGCGTCGATGCGGGACTGGTTGATGTCGGAGATGACGACGTTGGCGCCGGCGGCGAGGTAGGCTTCGGCGATGGCTTTGCCGAGGCCGCCTCCGGAGCCGGTTACGATGACGGTCGTGCCGGTGTGGGTGGGCATTGTGACTGGTAGTTGATTTGAAGTTGGGTTAAGTTGAGTGAGATGGAGTGAGTGTATAAGTGGCCGAGTGAGTGAGTGAGTGAGACAGTCGTCAGGTCAGTGAGGCCATCTGGACGGAGACGTGAAGGCTCTGGAATCTCTTAATAAGATACAGTGGACCGTGGATGGAGGGGCAAGGTAATCTTTGCGGGGCGGGTTGCGGGGACCGATGACCCTCAATTGGTGGCGTATCGGGGACGTTGAAGTGCTCGTGGGTATTCTCTGTCGGCTGTCTAGCCCATTTAAATGAATCGTATTCGGTTTGTCGATGTTTTTGGCTTCTCCCACCGGGTGGCTCTATTCTCCAACTCCCTCCCATATCACACATTCCGTGAGAGATCTCGGCTGCTACGTAGACTTCCATGACCATGCAGCTCAAGGGTGAGATGTCGCTCGTGATAGCTCGGGTTCCTACTCGATGCCGTCCCCGGACTTACAGAGGTAGGGCCATCCTCCTGACATGGGAGGGACATTGATTTGGTAGCAAGCCCAGGAGATAGTAGTCCGTTTATGGCTGAGCCTCATGGAAGATGCTCTTTGCGGGCTTCAATACTGAGACCATCAGACTTGGCTTCATCTATTTAACTCCAGGCAAGACTGGCGGTCTCTGACGAGACGTTGTTATACGCGTATGCACGAGTACAGTCTACACTCTGCAACTTCTCATCTCCGACCTTTCTTCATGCGCCTCCCATACCTTCGACGGTGGAACCGAATCGTTACCGCTCATTCAGAAATAAAGCCAAGCGCTGCATTATCCCGGGGTAAAGTTCCGGATGATTATCTCGATGCCCCCTGGTTGGATCTTAGGCGTCTACAGGGGAGGGACACGAATACGGCAGGGAGATCCCTGGCTCGGTTTCGCATTTCCACGCGTGCGGATTCGTATCTACTGACGCGGGCGGCATTGGCATTGGCCGAGACGCACGTGGGATGAACGCAAGAGCCCGTCAAATTAACCATATTTCTTGGAGAGATTGGACAAGTCGTTCGTTCGAACCTTGTTCAGAAGTCTGTTATGTGGTTGCTCTCTTTGCGGCAATATTGACTTTGGGGTGTGGGAACTACCCCTGATCGAAAGCCACATCAAGCATCGCCACTTAACACTTCCCAAATCAGAGCCGCAATTATAGACCTATTAATTGATTCGTGATTGGGAGGAAACAGATGGATGGCAAGTGAACAAGGCATGAAGATGACTTTGCTGAAGTCCAGCAACTCTGAAGAACGGCACAGCAAGTCACACCTGGTCTTTCATGAATCCGAATTTGATCAAATATCAACAGGCAAGCACATTGATAATTCAGCAATCAAACTTCTTCAATAGCTACGTACAAACCACAGACGGACCTACGTTTTCTTAATAGGGGGATTCTTGAGGCGTAAGCAGCTCGGACACAGCATCGACTAGATACCCACCGAGTTGAACGATGAGCCGAGAAGGTCCAACGGGGCCTTCTCGAGTTGGACCCTCGTCAGTTGAACCACCATACGTTGTATCGTCGCTAGCTTGGTCGCTGCTAGTTGAATCACTGGCGGTAGAGCCATCGACCGTTGGGGTCGAACCCCCCTCAGTTGAGCCCTTGTTAGTAGCAGTTTCATCAGTGGAACCTTCGCGAGAGATACCCTCACCGTTCAGAGGCGCATCGTCTTTCTTCTTGTTCTTATCCTTATGAACTCGAGTCCAGCGACGAGGCATGTTCGCACGAGCGCTCTCCGAAACCGGCGGAGGATAGATCTCGGCATCACGGGGCAGCGGCGGGTGCTGGGCCTGTAGGCTTTTCTGGATATCCAGAGTCATCTGGATGGCATGTGATTCGGATCCTGGAGTGCACGACTTACGATACTGCTCACCATCTTGGGGCTGCTGGTGGCAAGGCATGTCCTTTCCCTGAGTGATGTCGCGGGAGTCCGACCAACACTGCTTGCACTGGTCCACGCTGACGGGCTTGTAGTCTTCTTCGATCTCACCGTTGGGACAGTAGTAGGCCATGGTGACGTGCCAGTTGTCGCGGAACTTGTTGTTGAGTACGCGCTTTTCGAGACAATTCATGCGTTGAGAGGTCCGTGAGATGATGCGGCCGCACTGGTCGCAGGTCTCCTCGGTGTGAAGAATGTTACACATTTTTTGCTGTTTGGTGTGAGTGAGTGATGTAGTGAGTAATGTGAGATGAGTAGGATGAGGGTTTTGTTGTATGATTTAGCTGCTTTCTGAAATGCCCGGTGTTTTGAGTGAGTGATTCGAGTAGGGTTCACTCGAGAGACGAAAGTCTTAAGTATCACCTCATACTTACGAATAGCAAAGCCATTGTCTTCAGATAGTGAGATTGATCAAAGAGGCACTTCGTCTTTGTTGTGTTAGTGAAGCTCTGATTCAGTCACCTTGTGGAAGAACTCGAATACTGCCCCTCGTTACAGTCACCTTGATTGAATTAGCCAAGTCAACAACCCCAGACAGGCTCAATACGTCAGACAACACAGAACGGTAGCACACAGTTTAAGGTCATTCATCATTAATTAGGTATACTGGTACGATAAAGCTAACTTGTGCTCAACACAGCCTTTGGCAAGCGTTCTTCTTTTGATGTTCATTCTTCTGGTTCCTAGCCGTCTGGCCCACAGATGCCTCAAGGACTCCTTACTGACCGCACTCTCCCTCGACGACTTGGACGTCGCCATTGATATTGCATTGTCCATCAGCTTCACAGGAGCCGGCGCCAGTTCCGTCGGTACAAGCGAGACCCTCGAACTCAGCGGCGGCGGCCTCATCGGTGTCGTTATTGTTGTTGTTATTGTTTCCGTTGTTATTGTTATTGTTGTTGTTCCCGTTGTTCGCATTGTTGTTGTTGTTGTTTCCGTTGTTCCCGTTGTTGCCGCCGTTGTTGTTCCCATTGTTTCCATTCGCGTTGTTGTTATTGTTGCCGCCGTTGTTGCCGTTATTCCCATTGCCGCCGTTGTTCCCATTGGCATTGTTGTTGCCGCCGTTTCCGTTGGCGTTTTGGTCGCCGCCGTTTTGGCCACCACCGTTTTGGCCGCCTCCGCCTCCGGCACCTCCGTTGGCTCCGGCACCTCCGTTGGCTCCGGCACCTCCGTTGCCGCCCCCGCCTCCTCCGCCTCCACCACCGAAGCCGCCGAACCCGCCGCCGCCACCACCACCTCCACGGCCACCGAAGCCGCCGCCACCTCCTCCTACAGCGCCGCCGCCTCCGCGGCCACCACCACCACCACCGAAGCCTTGAGGAGCTGGGGCTGGAAGTATAAGTCAGCATACATCACGGTTTGTGAACCACCAGGGAGAGGACTGTCTGTCTGGTGTACTTACCCGTCAAAGCATTGCCGGTGAGGAGGGCAAGAGCAAGAACAGTGAGAGTAGTGTAACGCATCTTGACTGGAACGGAACTAGGCTTGTCCGGAAAGATTGAGAATGGTGATAAAGATGAATGTAAACGATCGTCAACGACCTTGGTTTCGAAATAAAAGATAGGCGTGCACAGCACCAAAAAGAACGGTCAAAAAACACCGAAGGGAAGTAAGAGCAGACTTGAGGAATCGGATGAGGATGGAAGATCATTCAAACCCCCCCTCTTCCGTCGGATCACCTCGAGCTTTTATCTTCGTCCCTTCAAGCAGATCGTCACAGAGAAAGGGGGGCGGACACTCGTCCGGCCCCTCGCCTGATCTTGCCGTCTGGGTCTCCTCTATCCCATCTCAGCCGATGCCCAGAAGGCGTCAAGGCATCACTTCTCAGCCAGGAGTCTTGGAATACATCACCGCCGCCGAACTTGCAACATCGGAAGTTTAGATGGCACGTCGTCCAAACGCAGCATTGACGTCTCGCCGATGGGGACGGGCCAAGACGTGATGGGATAATTATGGGATTGAGCGATCCAGTTACGTGAGATGTAAACAAGACCAACCAAAAGGCCAAACCGGAACCGTCGTCCGGGGGTGCTGTCAGAGCCCACCGGTCCCGGGGCCGTCACTAAGCTTCAATTCATGGCTAAATCTTTTATTGGAGCTTGGGATGCAGCTGCAGCGGCAGTTGTTTTGGAAACCGCCATGCCCCGGCTCCGGAGAATTGATCGACGGGAAGACAGGGCGTTGAATCACGGAAGACGATGGCTGGACGGGCTGGGCGGTTGTTGCGACGGGGGATGAGTGGAAAGCCACCCCGCATTTCCTTGTTTCGACGGGTTGAGCTGTGACGGCTGAGCCTGGCGGATTGCGTGGTCGATCTACACGTAATGTGGGTTAGTGACACCGGGGGTGGGTGCCCGATGTTGATAGTTCTTGGCATATATAGAGCGTTCCTGCTGTTCTTCTCGACGGCCAAGATAGTGGATGTCAGAGGCTTGGTCGGGAACAGCGTTCTCAAACATCTAGGACCGGTTTTTGACGTGTTCTTGACCGTCGGTGAAAAGCGGGCTCAATGGGAATGAGGTACTTCGCCCAGTCTTCGAGGGTTCTTTTTCTTGAGGATGTTGGAGGCGCAGCTCGCGTCGGACGGACGGTCGCGTTGCGTTGGTGTTCTAACTAGAAATTCTTTTGATCTTGTGTAAGTCGCCAGCCTCCTGCCTCCATCCTCATATTGATTGAAGTATTGAAGTGCACACGCCTTGGTCCAAATTATTGAACAAATCACCCACCCATCGATCGGGTTAACAAGAAGGGCACCTCCTTCAACGTTCTTGGCAGCACATCAACGTTGAAGATCTCGCTTCAGAGGTGGAACTCGTCCAACAATAGCAACGAAGCTGATCAAACGGCAAAAATTGGGCACCATTGACGATTTAGAAAGCCGCTCAACGCTGTGCCCGTCTGGATCCTGAAGTGGAGTTGGCAGAGGGAGCCCATCACCCCAAGACAAGTCGTGCAAGTCGTGCAAGCCGTGGAAAGCCGCAAAAAAGGAAGATGCGGCCAGTGTGGATTGAACACACGACCTTCAGATTTTGAGGATTGAAGTTGACTTCAGTCTGACGCTCTCCCAACTGAGCTATGTCCGCCGATCTTCGGAAGGTGTGGAGGCAAAGACACATATCGTGGGTCGGTGAGGGTGCTAGCCCTGGTGTTTGACTCGGGAAATGGAGACACGCCATCGCCAGCGCCTTGCCGAGTTCGCTGAGCTGTGAGAAAGAAGCATGCAAGCAAGCATTGGGGCTTTTTGACATCTGCAACGTATCAGTATGAGATCGTGGTGGGAGAAGAGGAAAAGGGGGAAGCCTGGAGAGAGGAGAAGGGCGAATGTCATGCCGCCGTAACCCTCTGAACAGCGGAACGAGGTTCGATCTGAGGAGCATGTTGCAGGAAAAAGTCTCGGGCGGGAGCTTGTGTAATGTTCCGACGAGGTCCTTCTCCGAACCGGCCAAGACATTGGGTTTTGAAGTTCTCGCCCAGCTAACCCATCTCGCTGAATATGTTAGACAGACCACGAAGGTCGCTTTGAATAAGTTCAGATGTGAAACTTGTGCGACCGAGTGGGATGGAGATGGCGGCATTGATTTGCGAGGATTGTCTTGACGAGAATGATGCCAGTGGTGGAATATGAATTGATCTCGGGATTGTGAAGGAGAAAGTCTCAGAAGTGTAAAACGATTGCCGCGGAAGGCACCTTACCACAGACATGGAAGGAAGGAGCGAGCACCCGACTCGGGGCGGTGGGTCGAGGTAGGAACGTCCAAGAACTGCTCCTGCGACCTCCATATCAGGAAGCCACTGCCTGCCTGGTACGTGGACCGATGTGCTGGAAAATGATGTGATTACATTATTCCCTTGAACTACAACCCAAACACCAAGTCCTGATATTTCTTGCGCCTCGTCTTTTCGCATTCCACAAAGAAATCAGATGCACTCGCGCCTCCCGGATCGGCTGACTTCCTAAGGTGTGCCTTGTCTCCCTCCCTCAATTTTCATACAGGTATTCGAACCTCATCGTGATTCCAGACGTATCTGACAATATTACAGGCCATCTTATCGTCCCTACAGCCCGGCCTAAATGAATCCAACCCGAAATTCGTCCGCAATCCCCGTCGGGGCTCTCAAGCCAAAGTCCGGCCGTCTGTAATCCCGCCCTTGGTCGCGACCAGAAGCTGGTGGCAGCGAGTACCCGGGGCTCATCTGCCCTTCAGACTTCTCGGTTGGTGTATGCGGCCTCTTCCCTGAACCAAACGTCGGGCTTGCCAGCGGACTCGGCAGCGGCCAGTTCGCATCGCCGGATGGCTCTGCAGCCAGGCTATTCGTCGTCGGCGGCTGTGGCGTCTGCATCCGGGGAGAAATCAAGGCAAAATCTTCGTGCTGTAGGTCGCGGTCGTCCCATCCTGCTTGCCGGTACTGCGGGCTCGATGCCTTGCGCTGCAATTCCACGGGAGGGGGAGGTTGACGTCGGTTTGCCGGCGTGATGCCATAATTGCGCTCCCCTTCTCCAGGCGCCACTCGTCGAGAAGCCGGTGGCAGTCCGATATATCCCTGCGGCTGAGGGGCTCTGTCGGCCCGGGGAATAATGGTCTCAGGGCTCGCCAGCTCTCTGGGATCCGAGTCCTGTCTCTCACGGCGCTCCATGGTCCTTCCACGCGTATCAAAGTTCGCTCTCTCCCTCTGCTCGAAGTTCGGTCGCTCTCTTGCGTCTGAGCCCATACGCTCTCTGGCATTCACCCAATCGTCGGGTGTCCGCGCCGGGCTCCGCAGCGGTCCTTCGTATGGCACCTGACGCGGCCTAGGGGGTGGGAGACCGGGACTGGAAACTGCCGGGCTTCTGGGTGGCGTGTGAGTTGAAGCTTGTGTCGGAAGTAGAGGCAGGTTCTTCAAGACGGGAGGTGACGGTCGAAGCGCGCTTCTCGGAGGCGGGCTCGTCGGACCAGAAGTAGTCGGCCGTTGCGCTCCAAAGTTGAGGCTGCTCTTATCTTCATCGACATCCATGGAAAAGCTTTGTCGCCTGGGAGAGTGGTGCGTTAATGTGTCTCGCTTGGCAGCGACATTTTGAATGATGGGCCGGGGGTAAAATCGTTCCTCTTCGCTCGTGCGCTCCGCCGATGCCGTTGGTGAGGGGAGAGATGTTGGCCCCGGTCTATGAGCGTCACGAACGGTGTTGGCAGCAGTCTTCAATCTCAAGTCGGTCTTGAGGGGCGGGAGAGAGCCGTTGACGGACGGAGGAGGGGAAGGGTAAGCCTTGGAAGGCGACAGCGGTGCTGGTGTCAGCTCGTTATGTTTGAGAATATCTGAAGGGTTCAGATTGAACTCGAATTGCCCTAGCGGACTTCGGGGAGCGTTTGAGACACTCGCTACGGCACTCGGCGCCGAACTCGGGGCGACCCCGGGGGAGCGGGGCGCACCTACGGAGCTCGCCGGGCTGAGGGCACCGTCCCTCCCATAATGCACATCGAGAGGGTGGACCCAATTGTTCTTGCGAAGAGGCGAATTCGGGGTTCCTGGTTCACTGCTGGTGATGATGAGGGGAGTGGGTATGGCCTTCAGATTCGTCATGGAACCGTTGTTCCAGCCCATGTTCAAGTTGCTCTCGGATCCCATCGGCCGGACACCACCCTTGCCACCAGGGGCACTAAGATCGACCATGGAAGATGAACCGCCATTCAGATATGGCGCATTCGGATGACGAAAATTGGCAACGAAGTTTTTGTTCGACATGGCGGTACCGGGACGAGAGCCGTAAAGTGAGGAGCCTCCTCCGGCTAAAGACGTTGCGTTTGGATGCGCAAAGCCATCGATGAAAGAACTCTTATTCGACATCGAGGTGCCAGGACGGGATCCGTTAATCATAACGGGTCGCTTCAGCTCGCTTCCAAAGAATTGACCTTCACCGAGCATGTTCTGGTCGATCCTCTTCCGGGGCTGCGGCTTAGGGTCTGCCGCCTTCTCGGCTTTCCTGAGAGGTGTTAGCCATTGTTTCGACAGCGAGAGGCAGACAGGCGCACTTCTTCTTGTCAGCACCCAGCTTGAGCCCGAAAAATGATACCATGTTTGCGGCGAATGGGTATCACAAGACTACAAATGTCAGTCAACGTACTCAGCAAAGAGTAAGAGAGGGGTCGAAGAGGGGCATACTGCACAAATGAAGAACACAAAATCTGCTGCTGTGGGCTATGCACAGAATGGGTCCCAATCTCAAAACCGGACTACCAGGTCAACGATCGCAAAAAGAGAATCCCGCTGGACGAAATGAACGAAGTACCAGCCAAAACAAATGTCGAATGAATGAATGAACGAATGGAGCAGCCAACGACTCCGGTGACGAGTGGCTGAAAGTATGAAATGCGATCGAGCAGGAAGAGAGTTGTGGAAAGAAAAAGAGCGGCAATGGCTATTGCATATGGGCCATGTCGCGTCTTCCCGGGTGACAAGTCGTTTGTAAACTGTGGAGGAGGCGTTGGGTGATGGGCAAGGGCGACGATCCTTATTCGCGACCCCAAGACAAGTTGATCCGTTGCAGGCCCAGGGGTGGGCAGCAGCGTCGTCCGAAAGAGGGAGCCCGGGATGGAGGAGCTGCCCAGAAGGTCAAGAGCTCTGGTGGGTATTTCTTGGTTAAGATGAAGTTGGGCGAGGGCGGTTGAGAGTCGGGCTTTTGAGTGGAAAAGAAACGAGTGGTGAGTCCTTGCTTGAGATGTCTGTCTGGTTTAAAGAGTGGTGAGACCGGATTATTGACCCCTTCCAAAACAGATTCAAAAGAGTGGACAGCAAGGAGTCGAAGATTGAGAAAAACAACGGGGACTTCGTCACGACATTTGGACGAGGAGGACGGGAAACAAAAGTCGATTGCTTCGAGCCTGTGATGGGGACCTCGTCCGGAGCAGGCCGAGCTATTGCGACGTCGCCGCGTTCGCCAAAGAGGGGTGGACCACGACCGTGTGCAGTGTGGAGATGAAGAACAGGCCCCCTTCCAGGTGCATTTTCCCTCTTCTGGCTGGTTCTAATGAAACGGCAGGCCGGTGAGAGCGCGACCACGACACCGGACACGTCCCCTTTGGCTCCGACTGAAGGCCGTGTTGGCGATTGTGCGTGCAATTTCAGCCTTTCCCCCCTTTTGACGTAGGCTTTGCATCGTTTAGACAGGGCCTCCACGCGCGCACGTCAACAGCTCGAGTGGAGAGGAGGGTGACCGGCCGAAGGGGAGGAGAAGGAGGAGGGGAGAAACAAATCCTTCTCCTGCACCTGCAAGGAGGTTGCAGCTGGGGCTCAGGCACACTGGACGCTCGCACTAGGGCGGCGCGAGTTGTGACGAACTTCGAATAGCCTGTGGAAGGGAGCCAACGACATGACGAGGAATCGAGGACCCCTGAAAAGCCCAAGAGCTGCGAAGCCTTTTGCGGTCGTGAGCCTTATGCGATGACCCTGGATGAGGAGGTCAAGAGTGACCTCGTGACGACGGGCGATAAAGCGCACATGGAAACTGATAAGGCCATCCCCGGAAAATACCACCTGAATGGGATCCCGGGATCAAGGGTCTTTGCCAGATCATACCCGCAACCGTAAACTCATCTCCTTTGAGTTTCCTGCGGTGTTTTGCGGTGTTGTCGTCCGGCAGGCATGCTAGTCAGTCGCATCAGACGTTTTTACTTGCGTATCATCCCGTGTTCTGCTCGTTCCTGCAGGCTGCGGTCAACTGAAGGATACATCATTCACCTACGGATACCTACCTCCACTTCCATCGCTTTACAATACAATGGGAACTTATTACTAGCGCCAGTAAGCAAGGGGAATTCAGCCAGCAAGCCCATTGAAAAGGAAAGAAGGCGTGAAAATAAGGCCTGATGAACGATACGTACCGCCGATTGTGTGGTACAGGAATAGGGGTTTTCCTGGATTCGAGCCCCTGGCTTAACGTGGTTTTTTAGCTGCCAAACCACCAAAAGTTTCTTGGGCCGGCTACGCCATCCGAACAATCAGGAACCTTGAAACCCTCAGAACAACCAGCGGGTTCAATCTGGTCCATCAAACACATGGAGTCGATGGAACCCCAGAACCCCAAGCAACAACAACCCCCAAAACATTTCCAATGTCAGTACTACCGGCGCTGACATCAGAACCCCCCGGTCTTCCATGCGAAGTGGATCAGACGACGTCAAAACACGTCCGAACCTCGATTGAGATCTTCGGCTGACGACTTCGTATTATCTCGAACCTCGAGAGCCGTACGTATGATGTGCGCAGTATAGTCTCAGACTAGGGAAACAAACTCCGCACCGGATCGCCCAGTTCTCGTTCCGCGGCTGGGATTTCATCCAGGGCGAGAGACGCCTCTTCCATCTCCCGCTCGATAATCTGGCCAAGGGCAAATAACCTCGAACCAACCATTTCCTCATCCCGTCATCTTTATCTGGGACCGAGGGACGGGGACGAGGAAAGGAGGCGGCGTTTCGCAAAACCCCCCTTTGGAGACTGGCTGGCCGTATTGAAGAATTGGCTGGCCGAGGCGCCTCCGGCTGACAGCTTGTCAATAGCGTCGTCCGCCCTTGATGCCGCGCCGAAAAAACGCGAACCCGCGTCTGTGACTACTGCACCCGCTCGGTCGTATTCCATCTCGCTCGTGAGAAAGTAGATTCATGCAGAGAATTCCATGCTCTCCATCAAATCATTGCTCGAATGTCTCCAATTTACTATGGACATGGCTGGTCCATCACTCGGCCTATGCCGTGCGCCACAGAAAACACGAGGACGGGGAGCAAAAAGGAGACGCGGCGGAGGATGCCAACTCGGCCGTTTACGAACTTACCTAGCTTGGACACGCATCGTAGGTCCGATGCGCGACTGACTCCTTCAGGTGAGCGTGTGACACTGACAGGCACAGGCACAGGCAAACATGCGTAGCAAGGGAGGCTCAACTGCCGAAGGAGGGCGGAGAAAGACGCCTCTCGTTGACTTGGCACCGTTCGGAGCCGCAAGCATGAAGTCGATGTTGTGTTTATTGATATTTGCAGTCTACGACACGCCAATCTATGCGCCCATGTGCCCTGGGACGATCCCGTCTCCATCCCATATCCCATGCCGTCCCATATCCGTCCCGTCCCGTCCCATTGTCCAATGTCCCCCTGAGCCGATGTTCTGTCTGATCTAGATAAAAGTATGATGTGCGTCTGACCCGATAAAAAAGAAACAAGGGGTCCAGACTATTCCCGATAGAAAAAACAAAAACTCCTGCCGCAATTCATATACCCGAGGCTAGACACAATCTAATAAGATGGTCATCGGAGCCAGCATCTAGAGGAATCTCGCTCTACTCGCCCTCTACTGATCTCTCTCTCTCAGCACTCGCCCTTCCAGTTCTCCTTGATCCACTCGCCCATCTTGTACGTGAGGGTCTCGTCGGAGTACGTGAGCACGTCCTTGTCGCTGTAGTCGCCCCCGCTGAACTTGAGGGCGACGATGACCCACTGCAGGATGAAGTCGATGAAGACGAGGTCGACCTTTTCCGGCTCGCCCTCCTTGGGGAAGTCGATCGCGGTCTGGATGCAGTTGGGGACGGGGTAGAAGGTGAGGGGCGCGTGCTCCGTGTCGTCGCCGTCGGTGCCGATGTCGTCCTTGGTGGTGTACCCGCTGACGAGGTCAGGCTTGGACTTATCCTCGCCCGCCAGGCGGTGTTGTTCGGAACGGAGCTCGAGGCGGCGGGGCTCCTCGGCCTCCTCGGCCTCGGCCTTGGTCATCATGATGTCGTCCTTGGGGTACATCATCTCGGGGATGCTCATGAAGCGCGCGTCGTGCGTCGCCTCCGCTTCGAAGATCTTGCCGGCCGAGTTGAGCAGCTCGAGAACCTTCTTCGCTACGGGGTAGGGGACGTCAGGGATGTACTTGAAGGCGCTGGTGAAGGGTGACACAATGAATGTGCTGTCCTTGGTGAAGGCCCCCTTGAAGATGTCGAAGCGGATGCCGCCCGTGTTGACGATCGCCAGGCGGGGTACATCCTTTCTGTCCTTGTTGTGGATGACCTTCGGAAGCACCTCCTTCTCAAGCCAGGTGTAGATACTGTTGTCGCTGGGGTACTCGGCGCGGTTCATCCATAGGTCTTTCGGCGCGCAGCCGTACTTGTAGTCCAGGTCGAGCGCCTTGCGGGCCTTCTCGATCATCTTGGTGACGTTCTTTCCGTGCTCGGTCGGGAAGGTCGTCTCGTTGAGGCCGGTGTGGTGGTGTAGACCGAACAGGTTGTTGTCGATGTACTTCCTCGACCACGAAACGGCCGCGGTAGAAACCTCGTCGGTAGACTTGGCTTTCTTGATGTTGTCAATCGACATCCACCCAATCGTCTCGAAGTACCGTCCACTCGCCATCGCAAATGCGTCCTTGTCGAACGTGAGGGCGTCGCGGACGTGTGCGTGGCCGCCGAAGAAGGCGATCGGTGCATTCCAGTTCTCCTTGCGGATGGCGGTGAAGATCTTCTTGAACTCGGGCATTCGCAGACCAACGTGCCCGATGACGACGAAGAGATCGGGCTTCTCCTCACTAATCAGCTTCTTGAACCACTCCTCCTTCAGCGTGTCCTCGACCGGCTGGACCACGGTGTTGTTCGCGTTGCCGGTGAAGTCGAACAGGAAGCCCAGTGCGATGATGTCGAGCCCCTGGTTCTTTGTCTTCAACCGGCGGAAGCGCTGGGCCTGCGGCACCCTCTCGCCCGTCTTGGGGTCGATGTAGTCTAGATTGGAAGCGATGTAGTTCTCCTTGTAGTTCGGCACGGTGATGTCGTGCTCGCGCTGGGCGGCGTCGGCCATGTACAGCTCGTGGTTGCCCGTGCAGATGAGGTCGACGGTCTGCTCGCGGAAGACGTCGTAGGTGAAGAGGCCCTTGGGAGCGGAGGCGTCGTAGAGGCCGTTGCCCTCGACGCGGTCGCCGGTGTCGATTACGAGGAGGTCGGCGCCCTGCTCGTCGGCCTTGCGGCGCATGTGGGAGGCGAAGGAGACGTAGTCGCCCCAGTCGGCGGAGTACTGGGGCTCGAGGAGGTGGCCGCCGTGCCAGCCGTGGGTGTCGGTCGTGTGGAGGAAGTTGAGCTGGCCCCAGGTCAGGTCGCGCATCGGGGCGGCGACGGCCGGGGCCGCGCCGGGTTGTGCTGCGGAGGCAGTTTGCCAGCAGAGGGCTGCTGCCGCGGCGGCGGAGAGGAGCATTGTCGATGATGGATTTCGGGCCATGATGGTCTGCTGGTTAGGCGATGTTGTAGAGGAGAGATTGATAGGAAGAGGAGGGAGACGGGTGACAGAGCTAGCTGTCACCGGACTTGTTGGGAATGCTACCGTTGGCGAGTCACGGGCACGGGTGCCTGAAGATAGCAACGGGAAGCTGTAGCTAACCCGGAAACCCGCTACGTCAGCGATGATCCCTCAGGGTTCTCGTTAGTACGGCACATCGAAGCACGCGTAAGTATAGATGATATCGGGTATTTCGCTAACAGCAGCGAAGCGTCTGAAACCCCGATGGCGCGAGCTGATGTGGGTCAACCTACGGAATGATCCCCGGACCTGCATAAGCCAAGATACAGTGGATATTCACTCTTATTCTCACTCAGCATCATCAATCTCATCCCTTCACTTGAGCACTCATCCAAGTCGGAAAGCTGCTACTATATCTCAAAATTGGGTATGAGCACTTGGAATTTGGTCTCATGAACTATGCTTTTATCTATTTCCAAACCCTGGGTCTCCCTCCCCATGACGCCAACGCCGCTATTCTAAATCTGATGCCGATTCATCGGCTTCCTTAGAGAAAGCCCCCAGCAAAATCTGTTTCACATCTCCGTCCGCCCTGCGAGTATCGACGATGTCCCTATTGGCAGTTATTAGCTTCCTGAATGAAGTGATGCTCGATATATATGCTCTTACACTTCCAGCTTCCGAGCGGCTTGGAGATCGTCATCCAGCCACTTCATACGTTGCTCACCGCATTGGTCGGCCAAGCTGCCCGAGTCTGTGTAAAAGCGAATAAACTGAACCATGACCCAGTTTTCTTGCTTCATGCCATCCGAGATATGTTTTGCAAGTCGCTCTATTGGGCGGTCGACACCGCAAATATTTTGAGACTCCCGAACATTTCCCCAGTGGCCATTCGTCAAGACATAAATGCTGACTGGCTGATTATCGTTTATGACTTTCGTGGCAACTGCATCAAGTATCGTACGCATCCCGCAATGAAGACTGTTGAAATCGTGGTTCTGCACTGCTTCTTGAAGTGCACTGCTTTTCTTCTCTTTAACACACACATGAGTTGACGAGAAATACAGCTCAAACTCCTTATCTGGGTCGACTTGGCCGACCTTCAGTAATCGGCTGAGGATTCTGCAAGTCTTGGCAAGTTGTTCTTGGTGAGGCTCCATAGACCTAGAGTCGTCAATGATGAAGATCTGTCAAATCTGGTCAGTTATCATGAACAGTCTGGTAGTCGGGGCAGACTTTGATGATGAGTTGTTGAATACCTGATTACGACCGCCAGTCCCTTTGAGCCTGGTCAAAACTGATCGCAGGGTAGGGAACGCCTTAAGAGGATCTTCGAGGTCTGAGTTCCACTTGAATGCGCGACCAAGACCTCCCGATCTTCCAGCCCAGCATGTCGCCCATATATCGTTGATCGTAATATGAGGTGGCGAGTACGTTGACGAGCTGCGTGAGGCTTGCGTCGGCGACTGCACGAAGTAGCTCAAAGTCGACGCCTCCAAAAGTGGTAAGGGAAACGACGGCCAGCCGGGAGACTTTCGAGTGCTGAAAGGCGCAATAGAAACGGTCTTCAAAGACTTTGATGCGCCCTTCCATGCCTTCAACACAGACTTCGCGTCTCCTCTTCGATCAAGGCGAGCCGTAAGCATTGATTTGAGGATAACCTTGCTCAGCGCTTCCGCGCGTCCGTTAGTGACGGAAACAGCTTCGGTATGCCATCTCTCAACGACGTCGAGAAGGCTGTCACCGTCATGGAAGGCTCCCTCGTGGAACCCACCCTGTAGTCTCGTCCGTTGGGTGCTCTCGGTTCGCTCAGCCTGATACTTTTCCCTGCCCTTCTCGCCCCATATCGACCATATTAGGGCCTCACTTATGATCCCGCCAAGTGACCATACATCGCTTTTGTGGGTGATGTTGGTAGGACGTTGGCGATCACGAACAGCTTCCGGCGCACCTAAGACGTCTCAGTTAGCTTGAGCATTCTCTTTGAGAACACAGAACGTTTCACTTACTGTACATGCCGTTTCCGTACTGGTCAACAGCCTGTCTTTCAATGCCTTCGGTTTTCATCTTGCTTAAGTGAGCAGTTCCCATGTCCGCAAACTTAAATGGGACGCTATAGTCATCGGCGTCGGAAGGGATCCCAAAAACCAAGATGTTTTGCGGGCGAATGTCTTGATGCGTTCTGGTCATAGTGTCAACCCAACGCCAACTCATAATCACAAGGGGAAAATTGAGACTTTGTATACCCTCTCAAGTGCCATGTTTGCGGTGAGTGGTCATGATCGCTTGTGCAATCCTCGATGGCTTGAAGTCCTCCCAGAAGACCAAACAGGTTTTTCCAGAAATGTTGGCGTTGCCCGTCCGTCCTCGGGGGTTGGCGCTCTTTAAAAAACGACAAAAGTGTACCTCCGGGAGCGTACTGCAAAACAATTGTTCGCCGTCCTAGGCACTCAAAAGATCCATAGTAATTCACAATATGATTGAAGGAGTCTTCCCCTAGTTGTGAATACATCGCCCATTCATTCTCATAAAGTCTTTGCGATTCGAAATCATTCTGGCAATATTCTTTGAAAACGACCTTTGAAAACAGCATTAGCATCGTCCATCACTGCGAGGGGTTGAACGGTGGTCCACGGACAGGCTCAGAAAGTGGAGTACACTGAGGATGCAACACGACTTTGTATAGGACAGCAGTTTCCTGGTCCTCGTTTGCTTCTGGGTTGATCTTTTCTTTTTGAATAATAGGAAGAATGATGTGCGGTGACATATTCCACTTGCTTAGCTTGGGTCTCAGGTCCGGGTCCAGAGACAGAGGACAGAATCTCCATTGGAGCTTCATGAAGTTGAGGAATACATCTCTGTTTTCTGACTCGCTATGTCCCTCTGGTATCGAAAGAAGGGGGAGCTGTGTATCTGTGAGCTTTTCTTGAAAGAAAAGACCGACATTTTCGGGTCCCGAGGATAAGACCAGAATAGAAAACACGACGAGGTAATGTTTGAAGATGTCGTCCGTATTTTCTCGTATCAGCCCATCGTAGCATCGAACGCTGGTAATCTTTTCTCGAGTCCAGAAAGCGGTAAGGGCAATATAGGGAACGAACGGGCGCTTGTCGCCCTGTCCATCGATGCCATGACAATCATGTCTCTGGATATGCTGTTCCACGTGTTGCCGGAATTCGGTGATGATGGAGTTCTCAGGCATTTCTCTTTTTTTTTCGAGTATTGCCACTTGTTAACAGACTGGAAGAGGTTCGAATGGTGGCAATGAAGTCATCAGCCTTGATGGTAAGCCCGGTGGATAATGAGATTCGACGACTGGCAGCGAATGGAAACTCCCACGTATTATAGTATTGCTGGCGTCCGGGCGGAGTCCAGATGACCCTTAACGGTTCGCCGCTTTCGAGCGCCGGCGGCTCGGTCAGATCAGTGTCCTCAGCTGAAGCGGAAGCCACATCTAATGGGCTCAGGCAACCCCTGAAGGATCTCACATCATAAGTAGGCAGACCGACGCCGAAAGGCAGCTGCCTGTGGTTGCCTCATCGCAGCCACAGAACTGCCTGGAAACGTCTTAAGAGCTGATTAGGGCTGTGCATAGAAACCCATTGTTAGGCCGGCTATCAGTGTAGCCTGGGATGTTGTACCGTGGAAAGGTGGTGTCGATGCAGGCGCGCCACAGGCTGACATTGTTGAAACCTCATGCAAGCTCTGTCACATTAAGAACATGCAGGATGACACTGCAGGCTGGATATGCACGTTGAAAAAAGGCGATCATGGGACAGGAGAGACACGCTGCCAAAAATAAGGCTTCCCAAGCCTTTGCCATGGGACTCACTCCCAGGTGGCTAGGCAGACAGGACGGGCCCGCAATGAAATCTATAGAAGTGTATATATGCTCCCAATATTCCACCCTCAAATGGAAAAGACGCAAGAATAATCATTGAAATTGGAAAAAGACAAAACGCCACAATGAGACCAGCCTTCTCCCGCCAAGTAACCCCTTTCTATGAAGATTTCGCCCCCAAAATCTCGGACACCTCCTGCAATGGATCTATAGCCTCTCTAGCTTGCTTTCTTGCCCTCAACTTTAGTCTCGCAAAAACAATGAACCAGACTCCCATTGTGATTGTTGTTAACGGGCCACAAATTGCACTGAACATCCGGAAGCTCTCTCCTTGAAAGCTGAAAGCACCTGTTTCATCGTCCTGGTGCAATACGCCACTTTGGAAGAAAGTCTGGGAGTGTCAGAAGTTCAAAGTAGGCTGTAAAGGTGAGGGTAAACCTCTCTTACAGCAACAAAAGTGGCGGGGAGAAATATCAATGTTACGACAGTGATGACATGCATAGAAGCAGTCTCCCGAGACGTTTTGTCCGCAACCACGTTCATCTGCTTTGCCGACTGGTGTGCTGTGTCGGCGAAAACCATGTTGATCTGGTTTGAACGCTGCTGCAGAACCAGTTCGTACTTATCTGGTTAGCGCAGGCGTTGCACTCTGGCTAGTGTTTACTTACCAATTGGATACTCTGACTGAGGTGTGTTGATAACGAGCTCAGCTGCGATTGTCTTGTTTGGAGTTTTCTCATGATGGAAATCAAGTTGCTGAGAAAGCCATTGATTATTGCATCATAATCTGAACCCTTCGGCTCATTCTCCTTCAGCTTGCCGTAGCAAGACTGAATATCGCGCATTACCCCAATATTCAGCTCCAGAACCAGTTGCGACCTCTGCAGAAGTTCCCGTCGGTTGTACAGAGTTTGGATGTCTTTGATACGCAGTTTGTCCAAAGAACCGGAGGGATCGAGTCCAGACATATGCTCAAACAGAGTTCGATCAGCAGCAAATTTCGCATTATTGGTCGCCCTGTCTGCTAAAACGGTTCCCTGTTCTTCATCCATGTCTGGTTTGGCGTCCCTGAATCTGGCGATGAATCCGTGGCCTAATGAAATCAACCGATTTTTGA